CCCCCCCCCCCCCCCCCCTCTCTCTACCTCCTTGTCTCTCTCTCTCCCTCTCCCCCCTGTCTCTGTCTCATTCTTTCTCATTCTCTCTCTCTCTCCCTCCGATAAGCAGCCGGTGGTTCTCTTTTCCATCCGTGTGGGCAACTCCTTCAATACACAGCACGGAACACGAAAGGCGAGCAGTAGCAGGAACGTCCGTGCCCACCCCCCCCCACATCTCTTACATCAAGGTACCGACGTTGATCCCCATCGCGAGCGCTCCCGCGAAGCCCCCCCCCAGAGCCCGCTTGAGGGACTTGTCCAGGATTTCCTGAGTGGTCGGCGGTGCTTTCGGCGGTGAGCTCGACATGGTCGGTCGTTGCTTTCGTCAGCCGGTCGGGAGCAAACTCCTGCGGCAGCAAAAGAGCACGCGATTCGAAGGCATCACGTTGTGGGGGCGTAGCAGCAGTAGCAGCAGCAGCAGCAACAGAAAATAACTACTGTATACGAGAGCAGTCAGCCGAACCAAGGGTTTCAAGTAGACGAGGGGCAAGAAGTGGGAGGCTCCTCCTCGCTCTTCTTGAAAGGTAGGTTTGCCTGGGAGGGACTCGTAATGCGCTGTGGAGCAAGGTGGGGCGCAGCAGACCACGGCGAGATGTTTCGAGAGTGATTTTTTCGTTCGACAAAGCCATGAGAGGCCCCGCGAAATGGAAACGCTGGGTACCGCCGCGAAAACTGCTGTTGATCACACACCCCTACACGAACCACTTCTTAAAGTCCGATAATACCCCATTGCTGTAACAAGCAAAAGGTTGCGGTAAGTCGAACCGATTCGCGAAAGGAAAATCTGGACAAACAAAACACTTCCAAACCCCGACACCCTCGTTGGGTATCGGTACATCTACCATTATTGGTTGATGCGGAGACGTCGAAAACCGCCTTGAGCAAACGTTGGCGCAAAATTCTTCACTGGTCTGCCTCCAAAGGGTGAACCATTCGAACAGGCAGTTGTGTGGTACCCTCAAAACAAAGTGCGGGGAGGCGGGTTCAAAAGCAGGTATCCCATGCTGAGAACCCTCCGAACACACACACGTGGGCACTATTATACTATCGATAAAGCACAAGAGAAGGAGGAGAGCCCAAAATGGCTGCTGTGAGTCCAGTATTTATTATCTGGCTCGGTTCGTAGCGCCCACCGGCGAGCTGCAAAAGCGAATGAATGAAGGGCATGTGCTGACAGAGCGAGCTCGTTGTCCTGTGTTAGTGTCAGTGGTACCTGTTCAACGAGGTTTCGTAACTTACCCAAGGGCTGAGTAAGGCGTGAATGCGTTTGCTTTTCGAACGGCGCAAGTTTTTATAGAGTGTCGTCATGGAAAACGGTTGACCCCACCTCATAGTAAGAGACGATACTGTTATGAAAAGACCGACGGTGAAGTTGGTTTGTTGTGCCTCCTCGCCTCCTCTGTCCTCCCACTATGTGCCGCGCGCGCGCCCGGATCGTTCTTTCAAGAGACATCGAGGTTGTGCCTTTTCAGTCGGTAGGGGAAGCGTTTGTCACCTACAGCAGTGAAAGTGTCATCTCACTCAATGAGAGGAAACTCTCGAAATCGGAATATGAGGAAATGACACATCCGGTTAACCTACAAAAAAGTGACATGTACAGGCCTTAATTCAGCCGACGCATCAGTAGCGTTAACACATTAGTTGATAGTAACTCTTGTAGAGGACTACTTGTAACGCCTTTTGAGTGGTCGGGCGTTTGGCGTTTGTAACATTACACCCGATATGTCTGTCCGTCTGGAAGATTCTTTTGCATCACTAAATAAATCGCATTTCTCGCCGCCGTCGCCGAAAGTACGAACATGACCACAAGGCAGAGAGGTCGCACGGCTCGTCCCTCTTGTCCCCGCTACCGCTCCCTTAAATCCCGATTGTTGTAAGCCTACAGCTGGTGAGATAACATAGAAACATGCAAGCTGTCGCTCGGTAGACTATGCGGATGAAATAGTGATCTTCCTAACCGTGGATCATGTGGGCTGCCTCGTTTCGACATCGTACACGAGACCCCTAACAATACATACTGCTGAACTATGGGGCCGCATAGCAGTCACTAGAGAATCAGCGGCGAGTACATGTTGGCACGGGCGGAAAGCGTGCACCACTCCTTTTCGTCCAACACTTGAAGGGCTTTGTCTCTGGTGAGATGGCGTGTGCACGTGCTAAAAGTGGCCCGTGGCCGCTGCCGGTCCGCTACCCAACCCCGCGTAGCCGGGGAGCCAGGCAGGGAATCTTACGATGCCTTAACACAGAAGCAGAGCGGCGCGTACGGCAATAACCGTAGTGCCGACGAGCTACTTTCGCCCACCAGCGTATGATGGCTACAGGACTGGATGTGAAAGCGGCCCTTCTCGGGACATTTGAGTCTGATGTGCTGGTTCTGCGGCAAATTTGAACACGGATTATTCTACATGACATTGATGACAAGGGTCCCCTGCCCCGCAGAGCAGTGGGCTGCTGCTGCGCATGACACGAGCGCGACGCCGGACTGCTCTACACGAAGATTGAACCGTTTCGAAGGTCGTGATAGAGCTGGCGTGCCTGCTGTGAGTGGTCTACGAACGGGTGTGCGCGTGCCGGCGAGAAGCAGCCGGCGCCGTAATTAAGGCGTTCCAAAAAACTAAACAAAAACTTGCTGACGTTTGTCCATGACTCTGGTGATCACGGAGCAAACAGCACGGAATGGCTTATATATGCTCACTTGCTGGATGGACTTGGTTCGCCGAGTGAAGAAGGGTCGAAGCTCTCTTCGCCAGCTCTCCCTCTCTCTCTGTCTTCACTCTTCCTGTTACAGACCGATCAGCAGTATAGTGAAGGCTCAAGGCCGGAACGCTAGCTAGATGTGCGGTCCAACCTCTCACCGCGCGAACCGCGCGAGCAGTCCTCCTCTGGGACTTATAATGATATTCGGTGGCAAGATACCGAAAAATGAGACTTGACGGTTTGGCCGCGAAATAAACGGTTTTCCAGTTTTCCGGTTCAGACATGGTGTAGAGTGCAGAGCTCCTCCAAACCTGCTCCAAACCACACGCGCTTTCTCGAAAGCTCTGTTCTCACCTGTCTCCTTTCTTCTTCCAGAGAGGACACACAGCAACATACCCTACACCCACAGAGAGAAAAAGCCTACGTGATCGACAGGGCACGAGAGAGAGAGGTTGCACTTGAAACCGACCAAACCAAAGACGCCTTCCGAACGGGTGGCAGCGGGCGGCTAGCTGCAAGAAGTCAACAACTCTTTGGCGACCCGATTTGTTCTCAACGGCAGCAGCAGGCAGGATGGACCCGGCGAGAGGGAGTAACGGCATCCCGCCGGATCCCGCTGCTGCCGCCGCTGGCGCGACTCCCTCCCCAAGGGGCACGAGCAGGCCCATCACTCCCGCGTCCGAGCAGCGGACGGGTCCGCACTGGTGGAAGAGCCAAGTCCCGCCGCCACCGCCGCCACAAGGTGTGTCCATGCGAGGAGCAGCAGCAGCAGCAGCAGACCCGTTTTGTATGACGTCGAAAAAAACATTATTTGCGGCCCGACGCTACTGCCCCATAGGTTGTGTCTCCCTATAAGTAAGTGAATTGTTGCGAACGGTAACCTTCCGCGCTTCCCGCCCGCTAGCTCTTTTTGTTCGCGCGTGTAAAATGTGCTTCAACTCGAGAATCGCTGCTGTGAGTTAGTTGCCCCTCCCGTCTCTCCGCTCTCTCTCCCTCTGGCGTGATAGTGTATATGTAGCAGGGTCAATTATTGCGTTGGAGCGGAACTAAAGGGGACACGGGACGCAGCAAAATTGCGCTGGACGGAATGACAACTGTTGATTGCTGATGACCGCAAAACAAGCCGCGCGCTTATATGTTGAGCCGCGTTGTTTTTTGTGCCGTGATGTGTGTACCCCCAGACAGCGTCAGCAGCTGTGGTGTCGTGCGCGATGAAAGCGTTTCCACATGTGTTCTGTGCTGTGTAGAACCTGCTGCTTGCTTGGCATGTACTCCATACGATAGCAGAAGCTGGTTTTTATTCCGACGGAAGTGGTGTAGGCAGTGTCTCGTCCGCGGAGAAAGGCAAGGTGCATCCAACCTTGGAGCACGTCTGCTGGTACTCTACTGAACTCACTCGTGCTGTGAATGTTTTTGAAAAGTGAACATGACCTCACAGAAAGACTAGAAGTATGCGTTCTTGTCCGGAGCCGGAGGGTTGGTTGCTTCCGACGTTCACCGAACCTTCGTTCTACAGCTTGTTGTTGTGGCTGTTGATGGTGTTGATGGTGTTGATGGTGCGGTCTTTCAATTACGGTTTCGGTCCCTCTTGACATCGGTTCAACGACGCGGGCGTCTGCCGTGGTTCCACCAGACGCTGCACAGCTGGAAAGAAGCAGGTGGTGCTGCTGCTGGCGTGCGTGTGTGTGTGTATCCGTACCCTGCTGGCGCGTGTCCCTTTTTTTACCCACACATGCGAAGGGCACGTCGTCATTGTTGTGCTCTCGGTGCACCACATGGAACGAGCAGGCGGCAATCAACGCGTCTGCGGCAGCACTCTAAGAGTTCCGTTGCTTTGATTGCTGCCGCTCGTTGCGGGGCTGAGGCGCGTGCATGGGCATGCGCAAGGAAATGCTACCCGCCCCTTGCCACCTCGCACCACAGATCATGTTACACGAGGCGTCCCCCCCCCCCCCCCCCCCCCCCCCCCCCCCCCCCCCC